ATTATCCTTAGTAAGCCACCCCCTTTTCCTGGTATTCCTGGTAAAACCTTTGTAACCCCCCTTCTATAATTCCTGGATCTGCTACTGATGTATACAAAAGAATGTTTTCCTTGATTTCAGTTTTTAATCTAAAAATATTTTTATTCTTTCTTCGTTCGTTCTCGTGTGTGCTTGTTTAATTAAAATTTATTGTTTGATTTTAGATGAATGATGGATAACAAGTAAAGCTGAAGATGAATAAGTTCAAGAAGACTACTTTTGTAAGGTTTTGCTTTGCGTCGGCCTACGAGTTACCAGAGGAACTTAGACTGTCAACTGAACAGCTGATTTGTCTGTACAAAGAATGCATAGAGATGGCTAAACACTGTAATGATATAAGTACCATGGTGAATTCATGCATGCTGTTCGTAGCGCATAGCAACAGCTTAGGTAGACATGCTGATTCACTGAGGTGTCTGAAGGAAATATCACCGTTAGCTGAAGCAATACCATATTTTGAGTCAATAGTTCATCAGTTTTTGTCCTATACATATAGGGAGCTCAACGAGTTTGAAAAACTTGTCTTGCACGCTAAGAAATGGATCGAAATTGCTCAAACTATAGGCCATAAAGAAAAAGAAATGTATGGACATCGTGAAATGGGAAATGGGTTTGCATCCTTAGCTCGTTATGATGATGCTATTGACTGTGGCAAAAAATGTCTTAAAATTGCCCAGGAAATTGATAGTGCTGAAGGAATGATGATGGCATATAACCTTATAATGGTCACATATGCAGACATGGAGAAATATGATGACACTATTCTGTATGCGCACAAGCTTCTTGATTGCGCCATGAAAAACAATAATCAGGAGGCTAAGATGGACGCGTACGTAATGCTGGGAGATGGGTTTTCATCCTTATCTCGTTATGATGATGCTATTGACTGTGGCAAAAAATGTCTTAAAATTGCCCAGGAAATTGATAGTGCTAAAGGCATGATGATGGCATATAACCTTATAATGGTCACATATGCAGACATGGAGAAATATGATGACACTATTCTGTATGCGCACAAGTTCCTTGATTGCGCCATGAAAAACAATAATCAGGAGGCTATGATGGACGCGTACGTAATGCTGGGAAATGGGTTTTCATCCTTAGCTCGTTATGATGATGCTATTGACTGTGGCAAAAAATGTCTTAAAATTGCCCAGGAAATTGATAGTGCTGAAGGCGAGATGAATGCATATAATCGCCTAACGGACGCATATAAATACATGCAGAAATATGATGACACTATTCTGTATGCGCACAAGCTTCTTGATTGCGCCATGAAAAACAATAATCAAGAGGCTATGATGGACGCGTACGTAAGGCTGGGAAATGCGTTTTCATCCTTAGCTCGTTATGATGATGCTATTGACTGTGGCAAAAAATGTCTTAAGATTGCCCAGGAAATTGATAGTACTGAAGGCGAGATGAATGCATATAAAATTATGATGGTCGCATATGTATACATGAAGAAATATGATGACACTATTCTGTATGCGCACAAGCTCCTTGATTGCGCCATGAAAAATAACGATCAGAAGGCTATGATGAACGCGTACTTTGGGCTGGGAGAAGCACATCTTGCCTTGAATCACTATCAAGATGCCACTGACTTTGGAAAGAAATGCATTGGAATAGCAAGGGAAATAGAAAACAGACGTGTTGAAGTCGGGGCTTACCTATTAATGGGGCAGACATATATCGCTCTTTCCGACTACGACAATGCAATTATCTATTGCAAGAAGTGTATTGAGCTTGCAATAACTATTGAAGATAGACGTGTTGAGGCTCAGGCTTATAGCTTCCTTGGAGAGATATATTATTCCTTGGAGAAATACGATGACGCCATTTCCAACTGCAACAAGTGTCTTCACATTGACAAGGAAGATAATGAAAAAAAAAGTGCTGACGTTATTGCGTATCTGGCTTTGGGAAAGGTATACCAGTCTTTGGAGAAATACGATGAAGCCATTCAGAATTACAAGCAATGTATAGACATCGTGAACCGTGTTGGCCTCGAAAAGCATGAGGGGGCAAGAGCGTCTTTGTATCTAGGAGATATTTATGTGAGACTGAAACAATATAATGCTGCAGTGCATTATTACAAGAAATGCATCAACATGGCACAGGAAACTGGTGAGAAAAAGATTGAAGCACGAGCATGTCTCGGTCTTGCGTTGGTATACGACACATCAGATGATAAGGAACGTGACCAGTCTTTGGAGAAACACGATGAAGCCATTCAGTATTACAAGCAATGCTTCGACATCGTGAGCAGTATTGGCCTCGAAAAGGAATTGGGGGCAGAAGCGTGTTTGTGTCTAGGACAGATTTATGAGAGACTGAAACAAGATAATGATGCAGTGCATTATTACAAGAAATGCATCGACATGGCACAAGAAATTGGCGAGAAAATAATTGAAGCACAAGCATGTCACAGTCTTGCGTCTGTATACCACACATCAGTTGATAAGGAAAGTGACCAGCCATCGAAGAAATACGATGAAGCCATTCAGTATTACAAGCAATACATCGACATCGTGAACCGTATTGGCCGCGAAAAGGATGAGGGGGCAAGAGCGTGTTTGCGTCTAGGAAACATATATCTTATACTGAAACAAGATAATGATGCATTGTATTACTACAAGAAATGCATGGACATGGCACAAGAAATTGGCGAGAAAATGATTGAAGCACAAGCATGTGACCGTCTTGCGTTTGTATACAGCACATCAGTTGATAAGGAAAGTGCCATCCAATACGGTAAGAAATGCCTGGACATCTCTCAAGAAATTGGCGACAAAACAACTGAGATGCAAGGACATCTTATTCTCTCTAAAGCATATATGGACGTGCAATTGAATGAAGCGTCTCAGAGTATAGATGCAGGCATGGCGATTGCTATAGAGCTTGGAGACAAAGAATATGAAGAAGATTTCAAACTGATTCGCTTTTGTTTTCACTGCACAGTTGGTTGGTTGGACAAATGTTATACACCCTCATTAAAGGAATTATTAGAGGTACCAACATGTTCTGAAGATGAGCTATTACAGGATCTTGACCAAGCGCTGAAGACAGGCGATARAACAAAGRAARCGAGASCTTTAGTGAGGCTTTTSRYATTTAATTTTTCTAAAAAWGAAKWTATRAAASMAATCAATTGCYTTGAGCAGWTAAAACAGATGGACKTGGAACCTTGTATAAACTTGTTTTGTTTCACAGAAATCGGGAACTTGTATCATAGGATGGGTCAGAATGACATGGCTTTACGCAGTTTCAAAGAAGGGCTACCTACTGCTGAGTCTTGCCCTGATACTGTTGGGTGCCTATCCAACTTTTATTATTYCTTTGGTMAATTATTGTATTTCTTGAACAGAGAACTGRACTTGRCAGAACATTATCTAAGARAAGCTATACGATGCTTTGAARCGAYYTTTACCACACTTGGTAGTCTTGATGAATTCAAGATCTCCRTATTTGAYGAATATATCGATAGTTATAAGCTGTTGGCAATACTGTTAATCAAAGGCGATCAGATGGAGGAAGCGCTTTTAGTGTTAGATCGTTGTCGTGCAAGAGCATTGAAAGATCTTATGATGTCAAACTTCAAGATGGAACAAGAGGAGAGCAATGATGAACACCTAGAGTACAGCGATGTTTCGTCTCTGGTCTCAAGAAATGACTTCAGCATTGCCTTTTACTCACTTTGTTTTGGTGCTTTTCTGAAGTTTTTTATTGAAGGGGAGAGAAATTTGCATTCTTCAAGTTTTCCTTATCATTCCCTACAGATAGACGTCGATACGTTGTTTAACGAAATGGGTGTTCGTGAAGTGGTTAACTGTGAGAACAGGTCGTTGGACAAGGAAGAAGATATTAAAAAAGAACAAAGAAGAAGCAAAGAAGAATACAAGGGACTTTATCAACCAACGGCATCACTGCTGAACCTTGATTCTAAAAGAGGAGAATCTAATGAGAATAGTGCTGAAACCAAGGGATCTACTCTAGAAGATCTATTTGATATCTTAGAATGTGATAGAATACTATCGTCGAAGCAAGACGAGGTTGTTATTATTCCAGAAGGTCCCTCATACAAAGTGCCTTTTCCCGCCTTACGAGATCGTCGCACGGGAAAGTATTTATCAGAGACAAAGCGCATTAGACTTGCTCCTTCATTAGCGACTTTAAAGGCGTTGCAAGAACGATCAGAAGATTATTATTCCAAGAAAGGCGCCTTAGTTGTTGGAAATCCTCTTGTTGGTAAAGTCATGTTCGATGGTAAAGAGAAAGAGTTTGGTCCTTTGGATAATGCGTTTGCTGAAGCGATCGCAGTAGGCAATGTATTCAATGCGACGCCTTTGACAGGAGAGAAGGCTACGAAAAAAGCTGTTATCCAGAGACTAATTGAAGGAGTAGCTGTTGTTCATATCGCTGCACACGGCAGTCTCACTAAAGGTACGATAGCACTTGCACCTTCTCCTGAGGTAAGAGCAACAAAGATCCCAGATGAAGAAGATTACATGCTGACCATATCTGATGTACAGAAGGCTCAAGTACGTGCACAGTTAGTTGTGTTAAGCTGCTGTCACAGTGGACGTGGTGAAATCAGAGCTGAAGGAGTAGTTGGCATGTGTCGAGCCTTTCTAGCGTCAGGAGCTCGTGCAGTGGTAGCGTCTCTGTGGGCCATCGATGACGATGCAACATTCRAATTCATGACATCGTTTTATGGCAATCTGAAAAATGGGAAAAGTGCCAGTATGAGTCTACAGCTGACAATGAACGAGATGAGAACCACTTCCAAGTATACAGCTCCAAAATACTGGGCGCCATTTTTTATCATGGGTGATGATATAACGCTCAARAGCATTTAAAACGTGTTTGTTACTGCCGTTTGCATTACTACGCAGACACCCCAGACACAAATCGCGTCGTGTAGTTTGCACATAGATTGCTGTCAATCAAACACCTCATTCTACTTGGAYGTACTCAAACTCTTTGCAATCGCTTTCGGAACTTTCCTTCGTGATATCTGACTGAGAAAGTTTGATAGAAGAAAAGCCAACTCACTGATCCAAACGTGTATAAATGGCGTCAACATGAATGATTGACGGTAGTCTATTGCGTAGTAATATGTACTTATTGACTGAGTGGGAGGGCCGTACGGGATAATATTTGGCTCRAGGTCATGTCGTACGGACCGAGCGCAGCGAGGTCCGTATAAATGACCGAGAGCCAAATATTTTCCCGTACGGCCCGACCTAACTCAGTCAATAAGCATTTTATCATATGACCCTCACGAAAATAAAAATAACTAAGAAAAAGAAAGCGCGCGGATTCGAGCAGGGCCGGACGGGTTTTTCCGGCCCGCTTACGTCAACCCGTCCGGCCCCATCACGTGACTTTTTCCAATGGTTTTATTAGAGCGCGCGAGCAGGGCCGTACGGGTCATATGATAATAGTGCAAACGGTAGTAAATGATGTGGATATGTTATAGGCGTATTACGGCATTGGATAAACTGGAGAAGCTAAAATACACTATGACTAGCTACCACTATTATCATGACCATCACTCACCATGACTATGACTATAACYTATGACTACATTTGTAACTTCAGCTACAAATATAAAAGCATGTTAAAATTAGAGAGAATGAGTTTGCTGACATTGAATTGGCTGCACAATGTATTGGAATTCCTTTTTATTTTTTGATCTTGTAGTATGTCAAGTGTTACGAACCCAAAAATTGAAGTCACAACTATTAGAGTTAAAGTCAAAACTATATATCTTAACTATATCTATATCTTAATAATACCTTATAATCTTTATCTATATCTTTTATTTACTCAGTATTAACGTAACTTTTGTAGAATACCGTGGGAAATTCCCACGGGTTTAGAATATGTAAAGGGTAGATCTGAAACATGTAAAGTAGATGAAGTAGGTGAAGAGCTACCCG